ACACATTGGGTCAGAAAAAGTGGTATATATACACAATGGAATTCTATGCCTCCATCAGAATGACATTGCCCCATTTGTTAGGAAATGGAAAGACTTGGAAAATATTATATTAAGTGAAGTAAGCCAGGCCCAAAGAAACATAGGTCCCATGGTTTCCCTTATTTGCAATAACTAGTATATGTCTGAGTCAAGCAGAAAAGGTCAGATAAGTTGATGTTAGGGGACTGAACCCCAAGATAAGTATTCAAATGTTTTTCTTTCATGTGATTGTTTCTAACATATTTATAAGATGATTTCTTCGTTGCTTTGTATGTCCCTCCCCCACAGTATAACCCCTGCTTTCACTATATTTGATGTCGATATAATTTGTGGAGAAGGGGAAAAACAAGTCATTTAAGGATACAGGTGGACCCGTTGCAACAATGGGAAGTACAAGTTGTCATGTCAAAAACAAACTTTACAACTTTGGTGGGGGGGGGAGGGTTGGGTGGGGGGGATGAGGCAGGGAAGGGATAGGAAGGGTTAACAAAGGAGGAGGCTGCAATGCTTGATAAGAAATGTACTCATTATCTTGCCCATGTAATTGTAACCCCTCCGTACAGTATGTTCACAATAAAGTAAATAAATAAATAAAAAGAAATGTACTTGTTCTCTTGCCCATGTAATTGTAACTCCTCTGTATGGTATTCTCACAATAAAAAAAGAAAGAAAGAAAAATGTGTGGGGAAATAAAAACTTTTAGTTTTTAAAATAATGAATATCTAACAGACCAAGAAAAGGTTAATAGGAGATAGATATTCCTGGAAGAAAGGAAATGAGGTTCTATTATTCACTATGAACCAAACAGCTCTATAGAAAATAATGGTTGTCCCCAAAGTCAGCTGACTCACAAGTCCAAAACATATTGCGACATTTATCCTATTCCAGAGGTCTGGCTTCTTTCAAAACATGTGGGTTGGACAGAGTTAATTCATTCACAATTACCTGAGACTAGAGAAAGAGATTAACGATATTGTCTTTAAAAAAAAACCTTTTGCCAATGCCAACCAATTTACCAGTTCCTAAAGAACAGAATCACCCTCCAGAAAAGGGTAAGATAGTCATGACAATGTGTGTTAAAAGTGTCTTCATGATCAGGAATGCATTTCCTTTTCCTGAATTCATCTTCCTCCTTCTCCCTCCACCAGTCAATTAAACCCTCTGCTTTTTCAGACTTTTCTAATGTTTTATCATGGCAGAATATCAGTTTGTGATAACTACCATTTTTTATATTTTATTTATTTATACTTTATAGGAGTTTTGTTAACTCCACTTCTGTTTTTGAATGACTTTTTTTCCACTGTGAATCAGAATCTACTTTCCTTCAGGGCTTCACTGTATGATCCTATAAATATTCAATCCACACCCAGAATATTCTCCTTGAATATTGACAGAATAATGGCATTAAAAATAAAATCCTTGCTAAAAGCTGTTTTAAATTATTGCTAAGATTTCTTCCAGATACGAAATCTGGAGAAAAATACCCTATTCCATAAAAAGGGCTGGGTGGTGGGGGAGGGCAGAGAGAATGTCTTCATCATTCTACACTCATGGCCTGAGCTCTGTCCCCTTTCTTATGATAAAGTACTGAGAGTTGGCTGGCAGAGTCCTTAGATGTTAAATTCAACTCTGCTTCTCATAATCCTTCTTCAAATCAATAGCTTTACCTCATAGTGCTGACTTTATCTCAGCTCTAGGATAAGCTTAGAACCTAGGATTCATACCAGCATTTGTGTTTTATCCTTCTGTGCACACAGCTCTCTGAGTACTTAAGAACCCTAGTCATTCATACCTTGAACATCATTGGCCCTCTTATGGGGGGAGGGGAGGGGGCACCTTTGCTTCCCAGAATATATTTACTCAACTATAACACTCCAAGTATTTCTTCACATAGATGTTAATGTTTTGTATTTTTTTGTTCTTTGTGAGGTGAAAGATAAAAAATGAAGGACATCAGAATATGTCACCCCCAAATATCCTAAGTAAAAGCCTAATATGGTAGTTTATGCCTACAATCCCAGAACCGGGGAAATGGAGATAAGAGAACTATAGGTTTCAGTCCAGCTTGGGCTACCTCAAGCCCTACCATGAAACTTAATCTATAAAAATGTGAAAAAGCTGCTTGGACATGAGGATTATTTTGAGCTGGAAGGAACAGATAAAAATCAAACACAGAAAGACCCTTGTGCCTTCCACTATTATCCTAAACAGCAGAATATAGATTTTCTTTGTAGACATAGTGCTTAACCTTCCTTTATCAGCTCAGACAGAAATAACAATAAGGTAAGTTTGTAGAACTATACCTTACTTGGTAACTTGTATCTTTCATTAGTTTCCCCTAAATATTTATCTTCCTGTGGTTTACCACCAAACCCTCTCACCTTCACTTGGCCACCTTTTGTTAAAATGGTATATAAGACCCCGAGTCTTCATTGGATTGTCTCATTTTTTTTTGGAATCGCCCACCATGCACATAAAACTAAAAATTAATTTTCAGTTCCCTTTGTCCTATTCAACTATCCTCTTATTTCATTTGCAGAACTTAATTATGGATCTTAAGAAGGTAGAGGAAAACAATATCCTACTCTAAAAAACAAGATGAAAACCATGTTCGTCTACTTGTTTCTCAGGCATGGATCAAACTCAAGACTTTACTTTTGTTATAATTACAGGACTAAAAAGAAATTGTTTTTAAAAGGAGAAAATGTTTTGGAGTCATTTTATTTTTCTATTTTAGAAACTAAAAGTAGAAGCTATGGATGACATATCCATGCACAAGCCCCCGGGACTTGGCTGCTTCAGAATGTAACTCCTTGTTAAATGGCCAGATCATCTTACTACAAGCCTGTTTTATAACCGATGAATTCGTTGCTTTGCTGTTTATTCCAAAACAATTGTCTTGAAATTTCTGATTTAAAATTCCTTCAAAATGTTAGTTTCTCTCTTTTTTTGGGGGGGGGTGTCGATTGTGGGACTTGAATTCTGTGCTTGGGCACTGTCCCTGAGCTCTTCAGCTCAAGGCTAGTGCTCTATCACTTGAGCCACAGCACCACTTCCAGGTTTTTGTTTTTTTTAATGTGGTGCTGAGGAATCAAACCCAGGGCTTCATGCATGCTAGGCAAGCACTCTACCACTAAGCCACATTCCCAGCCTCTGAGTGTTATTCTTATTAGATTGAATTTATTAGTACCTATTCTCCTTCAAAAGTTTTTCCACTACAAAGTGATTGTTTTTCATTCTGGGCATACCATTTAGAGAACATTACAAAAGTACCATGACTCACTATAGGAGTTCTAAAGCAGTGGTGATATATATCACCACACTTGGGTCACACAGGCCCAGAAGGGAGAAGAACACAGAGAGTCCCACTTAATGAGCTCTCTGTAAACAGTGCACCTGAACAATAGGCTGGACTAAGCCACAGCTCTCTGAATGGTGGTGCAAGGATCATCGCTCCATCCCCCAGGATTTGGGCTCCCACTTCCATCAAGCAGCAAGCATCTGGCATCAGATCTTACATTGTCTGATGAGCCAGGATACCTTGCTGCTATGTGCTCACTTGTATTCTATTCAGAAATCAATTGTACCTGAAATAATAATTAAAACATGGCTTCAGCTACATCATAATCGAGTGTGTTCATTTCTTCAGGACACAAGACAGTTCATATACTGATTTTGATTTATCTGAAATTTAGTTCACAAAGTACTCTGCAGTCTCTAGTCAGTGCCGGGCACTGATCTCAGATCTATACCCACAAAAGTAGTCCTGGAAGGATCTGATGGGAAAAGCAATCCCTGCTTTCAGAAAGCTTGTACTCTATGGAAAGTGAAAGTGTTGGAATTTATTTTCAGAGCACTTATACGGGAAGCCTAACATCACTTGCTTATATACATTTCCAAATATGTAAAAATCATTAATGAATAGAAACACTGTGAAGTCCTTCTGAGTACATGAATGAAATGTTAGTTTATGGCTGATTTCTAAAGAAATGGAAGTAGGTAATAAAAGCTACCTGTTGCTGCCAACATTTAAATCACTTAACACATTTGCCAAGACAGAGAGAGAGAGAGAGAGAATTTTCTTCCGCAAAGTAGAAGTGAATGAAAGGGTCAGTGTATTGAACAATCTCGAGTCATCATTGTATTTAATGAGGTGTCTGGAAGCCATCTCCTCCAGGCCTTTGCTTACAAAAGCCATTCATAATGAACAGTGGAAGGCAGAAATAGCATCAATTCACCTTAACAGGGCATGGTGATGGTATATTCTTTCCATAAACAATACAGGGCAAGGGTTGAGGGAGAGTGAGAAATCTGACCTGAAGCAATTATCTTTGCTACTCATCATCCTGACAGCTATATGAAATCCAGACCAGGGGTTTTCTTGTCTAATTATTTCTAACCTTAAAGTTCAGGGAGTTGGCCTTTCTCAAGATCAGAGTGCATTAAATACATCCTGAGGAAAGTGTACAGTATTTTCTACAAATTCTTGCCAAGAGATAGGAACTCTCTCTTTATATTTAGGCTAGCAGAGGAAGCAGTGGGGCCGGGCTGGAGGCATGGGGGTGGACAGGAGAGAGAAGGTCACTAGTCTCAGCTCAGACTAAGAGCTTTCGTAAGCATTTTAGTATCCCTATCACAAGGACAGTAGGAACAGTATCACTTCCATCCTGATGATGGAACTTGGCCTGGATGCAGGCCACTAAGTGCAAGGCTCAGTCAGTGGCTCAAAGGTCCAGAGACTTATAAATAACCGCTCAGAAATGCTGTCTGGCAATTTACCATTGTTAAACAAAGTGTAATCCCTTAAAGATATCTAAAACCAGTACACACACACACACACACACACACACACACACACACACACACACACACATCACAGAGCCTTCCAATATATGTATTTGGCTCCACTTTAAATGTATGAAAAATCACTCAATAAAAAGCTCCTCTTGAAGAGGTAAATATACCGATTTTAGCATTTTTATCTATCTCAGTGATTTTTCACATGCTTTGATTTCTCAAGGATGATGCGTGAAAATCAGATTTCTCCTGCTTGGAAATTCATAAGCTGTTATTTCCCAGGGGTGGTCCTTGTTATCTGGCATGAGGGCCCTTCATGCCATGCTGAAGCACAAGAGCTCTATGCACCCCCCCCCCCCAGGAACCTGCTCCTACACAGGAAACGGGCAGCAAGAACCACAGAGCCCCGCAGCCCTAGGGATAACACTGAAACTGCACAGAATCAGACTGTTTCCTATCCAGCAAACCAAATGCCCAGGACACAAACACCACCTGACTTTAGAGTCTTTTAGAGGCGGGATTCCAACTCAACTCTGGCCATTCAGTGTCTGAACTCAAAGCGTTAAAAGATGTCTTGTTTCACGTATAAATTCTATTCTGTCAACATTAATCAAGAACATTTTTTCACCCATATCTTGCCCTCAGTGGAGAGAAAGGCCTGCTGTTTATTCTATGTGGGTGGGAACTCCAGAACACTTATTGGAATTTACAGTAATTTTTTCATTGTCCTCAGAAAACCTCTAGCTCTTCAATGTTTGTGTACTTCTGGGTGTTCATTATGTCCTGTGTCCCAACTGCACTCTGGGAGAGCTTTTGCTATAAGATCTTTGGCAAGACAGTAAACCTCTCTGTGCCTCAGTTGTCTATCTGGACCAGGGGAGAGAGCTGGCCCAGGATGAACCCAGGCACTCTGGCAATCTAGCTCATTATGATTCAGTGACAATATAGCCGTCCTTAACATTTTGATGAGTATTTTTCCAAACTTGGTGGAAAATTGTTGAGTCACCCTGGAGTTCATTGCATTATAAGATGAGGTTGGCGTGTAATGATAGATCCATGGGTAAGACTGGACAGAGGAATGTGGAGGAGGAAGGGGAGGAGGTGTGGGAAGGGAAAGTCATAATCAATGCATGGAGATGGCACATCTGCTCATCTTTGGCCAATGATACGATTAGGCAAATTCTCAACACTTGATGAACAGCCAGCTGTGTGATATGTGCTAGAGAGCACAAATATTTCAACTGCTTCTAGGGTGTAACTTAAGGCAGCTGTGAGGCTGTTGGAGATAGTAAGCATGACTTACCATATAGCCCTTCCCTAGCAGACTTTGTAGACATACACTTCCTCTCTGTGTAATGAGATAGGGACGACTATCAATGAGCCTGGCTGGAGACTAATATGGTTAGGGGACTATCATATAATCTCTTCATTGGTAGGAAATTAGTGCAGATTATTTCCCTTTGGCTTTGTATTTTTTTCTACCTTCCCTTTGGCTTTGTGTTTTTCTACCTTCCCTTTGGCTTTGTATTTTTCTATTTGTAAGTAAATCAAAATGTAAAGAAGTAAACCAAAATGGCAAAAACACTATGGGGCATAATGTGGGGAAGACCAATGACAATCTGGCTTCCTTGGTATGTTGTCCTATACAGACATCTCTTCTCTGTGACCACATTGAAATACATAGCAGCTCTTCACCAGCTAGCAGAATACACACACAGAGGCTAGCTAGAGCTAGCCTCCTGTAAGCAAGGCACGGTGTGATGTGTCTCAGGATCACCTCACACCTCAATGGATGGCTGATTTTCTACCAGTAGGCACCAGTTCAGGGGAAGGTCAGTGTTTCACAGTGATGGTTTTGATTTCTGTGAAGAAGTCATAAGAGTCCTTGGCTCCCTCTCTTCCTATCCCAGAGTGCTTCATCCCTCCAAAAGGTAGGTTCAGCTCCCTGATGAGCCAGCAGTTGGTCCAGATCAAGCCTGACTGTAGCTTCTTTGCCACCCGGTGGATGCGCCCCACATTGCTTGACCACACAGTAGCTGCCAGACCGTATTCAACACTGTTGGCTCTTTTAATCACTTCTTCTTCACTCTCGAAGGGGACCACACACGTCACTGGACCAAATATCTCTTCCTTCATGCAGCAAGACTCATCCTTAATGTCCGTTATCACTGTGGGAAGCATGAAGTAGCCTGCCTGATTCTTGGGGGGAAGGCTCAGCATATCCACCCCCTCACCACACAGAATTTGGGCCCCTTCGGCTCGAGCTTTCTTGACATAACTTCTGACCTAGGCAGGTAAGAACTATAATTAGCGATCTCTTGCCATTTGACTTCACACAAATCAGCAGAACAATCAATATTTTCTAATCACTGGAAAATGATATAAGGTCACTGCTAAGAAATCTAGAGTTATCTTATCATGCAGCTGCTAAGCCTCCACTCATTAGTTGGGCATTAGGTCTTCATCAGCACACAGAAGTAATTGACTTAATGTCCACAGGCCAGGCACTCAGGCAAGTACTTTTTGTACATTCTCACTTAAATCTTTCAACACTCTATCAGCCATTTTGAATCTATTATTGTTTCCCATTTGTTGATGATAGAATTGAGCCTCAGAAAGTATACATAGTTCCCAGATCCACTAAATACCAAAGCTAAATTCACATTCAGTTATACATTATAGTTCAATACACAATAGAATATTCTCTCCTCCCTCCTTTTTTTTTTTTGTTGGGGGGGTACTATTGCAAAAAAGGAAGAAATGAATGATGTATAAGATTTAAAGACCAGAATGTCCTTTGGTATCTAAGCTTCCAGAACAAATAAATTCTAATTTCTAGTCTCATTACTGATTATACTCTGAAAATATGTAGGTAATATAGTTAAGCTAACGATAATGGAAAATAAATTATGTAAGAAGTTAACCCAATGATTCAGAGATAATGACAAACGTGCTTTCATGAAAAAAGACTAGGATATTTGTTTTTCCTTTCAGAGTCAGTGCTGAGTCATCTTGGCAAGAGAAATGGCCTGGCCAGGGCCTGTGCACTCAGGATCCAATTCTAGTTTAAGCCAAGGATTGAAAAGCATTCAAGGAAAATATGTGCTTTAAGTTTTAAAATATATAGTGGTTGGAACATAGCTATAATGTTAATTCAATTATCTTGCCAACTGTTACTATGCACCAACTCTGTCACAGATACTTTTCTAGATCTGAGAACAGAACAATGAATAAACCTGACCATGGGCTTATGTGCTAGGCAAGGGAAGATGGTCAATACGGGAAGAAATGATTGTATGTCAAATGATCAGAACCATGGAGAAAAATAAAAACACCAAAAATGTAAGAAGAGTCCTCGCTGATCGAGTAAGGGCTAGAAAACCTTCAGCCAGAAGGCCGCATGTGATATAAGGAGGGAGGAGGACAGAGGCAAGAAAATATCTGAAGGGTTTATTTATTCCTCTTGGTTGACTCCATATTTACCAGCTGATTTCATTCTACTGGTAGTATTTCCAAGCTGACTCCTCGAGTTTATTCATCCTATTTAAGGTTCTGCTTTAATCTGAGTTCTTTGTGCATATGTATATTTACAATGGTCAGACTCTGTATCCAGAGACAACTCCCCTCACCTCTACATTTTTTGAAAGTCACTGTAATACTTCAAAGCCTGATGTATACCCTGCTTGAACTGAGCTTCTCTTCAAATGAGAGTTTTCTGTCTTACGTGGCAGAGGATTACTTACCTTCTCCAAATGTGGTTTGCTTATCAGAGCACCCATGCTGGCTGATGGATCAGAAGGAATGCCAACTTTCCACTTTCTGGTAGCTTCTACAAACCGCTTTAAAAATTCACAATAGATGCTCTTCTGAACAAAGATCCTACTGGTACAGAGACAGATTTCACCCTGCCAAGAATGAAGACAATAATGACACTGGGGGACACTGGGGGACATTCTCCCTCACAGATAGATCCCTCCACATATCTGTGCATCTGCTATGATCTGACACTGTCAGGACAGGTGTATCCAGGGCAAGACAAGACCAACTGGCTTGTGGTATACACGCACAGTCTCATAGGAAGACGGACAAAAGCAAAAGCATATATGACCCATGATGTACCATCAGATAGTGATCAAAGCCATAAGACAAGTAGGCAGGGGATAAGAATAGAAACTGATAGGGAGTGAGGAGGGGGATTTTAGTAAAGATGTCATGGGAGGCCCTTACAAAGAGAGGCAATTTGAAGGGTTTCTTGATTAATAGAAAGGAGCTGAATGGGCAAAGATCCAGAGGCAGGGATTTTTAGCAGTGAACTTTGAGAACCTGGGCTTTGTGGGTACAAGAAAAGACAGGAAGACGGAGGACAGGAGTAGAGAGGAAGTGGTAGGAGATGAGATCAGGGGTCGAGAAAATCAATGCAGTCTCATGAAGTTCTAAGAGTGAGGAGCCAGTGTTTTATTTTTAGTATCACCAAAAATGGAATGCGAGATTTTAAGCAACAAAGTGACATGATCAGAGTTACCCTTGGAAGCAACCACTTTGGCAGCTGTGTGAAAAACAGAATGGAAGGAAATAGAGCAGAAACCAAATGGAGAGTGAAGAGACTATCCTGAAGTTCAGATGAAGCAGACGTCGCTGGACCCAGTGAGGTACCAACGCAAGTGAGAAGAAGTAATAGGGAACTACTGAGTTCTAGATTCTTATAGGGGCATGAGACCTTAAAAGTATAGGCAATTTGGTAGGCAAAACTGGAATGTATGCAGTGGAGAATCATAAATTTCAGGCTATATGTTCAAAAGAACATATGGAACCCACTGATGGGTGAATATGTGGGAAAGTGAGAGCAGAGACAAGCCTGGAGCCTGGGTCTGTAGCTGAGGCACAAAGTGGAGGGTGGTGCTAGTCCCTGAAAGAGCACCTGAAATGGAGAGAGAGGACTCCAGGAGAAGGGGAGGGGAGGGGTGGTGTTAAGGGCTCTGCTGTGGACACGTTGAGTTCAGGTACCTAACAAATACCCTCCCACAGGGACATGGAGTATTAGGGGACAACTTATGGCCAATTTCTGAGTGACACATAATCCTAACCAGCACTTGAATGTAACATTCAATAGCTTACAAACCACATTCTGGACACTGCATAGCACAATCCAAATATGCCTAGTAAATAACTATTTTCATCACATTTATAGTTTGTCTTCACAAACAATCCTAGGGAACAGAATGTTTCTAATTATCTTGGTATTTATATAAAGGTCATGGTCCAAATGAAACAGTTAATGTTCCAAAATAATAAATTCTTTCGGCAACCAGGATCTATCAGAACCATCTGTATATCTAGCTTGGGAAACAGCCAAACACCTGAAGGACTCATTTGTAAAAGTGCCCTGCACCCTACAGGGATGAAGGGTATAATTAAGAGACTTGCAGGTTTTATAGAGCTTCCCATCCCTCAGTATTAGGAAAGCACTGGTAGCAGTGGGGTCCCTGGGGAAGTGATTTTGGAAGAAGTAAGTGAACTATCATCTATTGAGTCTTGACATATACTGGACACTGTGTTGGATGCTCTCTCCATAATATCTCTGTGCTGCTGTGTTAGCAAGCTCAGATTAGAGCTGGGAATGGAGCAGGAGAGCAGGAGACAGTACACAGCCAAGGCCACACAGGGATGCCTCCTCTCCACCCTCTACCCCCTACCCCTGCCAAAAGTCAATTATGTTCTGTGAATAAAAAAATATTCCCTACATGGAACTTGCCACTCATTGAAGTAAAGAAATCAGGCTGATTGCTTTAAAACACTTCCAAGAGGAAGGTTCTTCAGATATGCCCAAATCCCCACATGATTTTTAGTAGGTGAGCAGCCTGCCATCCATCCATCCATATCTCCAAAGCTCAGCATGAGTTTATGTAACACAGAGTTCAACTCTCTTTCATTCATCTCAGTTCTCAAACCACATAGGTAGAGCCTGTCTTCTCTTAAAGTCATCAAAAACTTGGTTTAATTGTCACCTGGCATTTGCTTATTCTAATGATTAAAACAGTTGCCATAATATTATACTTGCTATTGATACAAATATAGATACACACATATTATATATTTCTAGCTGTCTTCTCTAGGAATTATCAGGGAAATAGATCACAATTTTAACATCTTGAAAGTAATGAATTTCACTCTAAATTCACAAAATCCTGTTGGAATGTATTACTGCTATTGCTCAAATAATTATATAAATATGTGAAATCCAATGTTAACTGGTTTGGGAAAATTCAGATCTACTTCATCGTACTCTTCCTTTCTCTGCAAGTCCTAACTTTTTGGAATGTCATTATTTTCAACTAAAATAAAAATAACTTTTAGATGAGCTCGTGGCTCAGCCATGTAATTCTAACTATGTGGGGGGCTCAGAATGGAAGGACCATAGCTGAGCTCATCCCCAGGCAGGGAAGTTTTTCAGGCCCCTTTCTTAGTCCATAGCTCACCACAGTGGCAAGCTGCCTTGAGACTGGGAATACTGTAGTGCCAGGCCAGCCCAGCAGAAATGTTTGCAAAACTCCATTCCCATGGGGGCAAGCTAGACACAATAGGTAGTCACTCTCTCCACAAGAAGATAATGGCTCGAGGCCTTCTCCTGAGAGATCTTAACCTGAAAATAACCAGTGGAAACTGGAGCAAGGCTCTGTTGAATCATGTGCCCTACCTAGCTGAGATCCTGAGTTCAAAACCCAGAACTGCCAAAACACATGACCTGTAGAGCACACCATTTGGTTTACACACACCTGCCAAGTTCTAGGCAGGATTCCCGGCAATGATAATGGAATTACTGCACAGGGACCATCACTGTTCTCGTTGTGAGGAAGCTGCTATCCGGTTGATGCTTACACCTTTGGGATGTCTGAGAAACATTATGGAACTTAAAGGAATATTCATGCTGTAATCCGTGCTGTTAAGGTGACTGGAAGCTTTCCGTAACTCCACAAGGAACAACCTGCTATGGAATGTACTGGTCGTGGCAACAGCGCATGGAGGCACTGGAAGTGTTCCCGTGGGAATAGGACTCGTGGGTGGCAGTCAGGGCTACTGTGTGAATACAGACTGGAGACACGCGGAGCCATGCAATACATCGCTGGCAACTCAATAAAAGTGGTGCACCTCAACAAGAGGCTCTTGATGAACAGAAGCTATGACTTGCAGGCCCTGACTGAGGTTAGACTGACACACTGTACTGGATGTTCCCTTTTGCATGGAAATGACTGATCTGACCCATTCATTCCTGGGCTTTGCCCTGTAATGAATTTCATTCATTACAGTGATGGGGCATAGGGCGTGGGGATGCTTAGAGGCCATACCTGGTTGGCAAAGCTGGATCTGACGGTTGCTGGAATACATTCCTCCAGGTTGGCATCCTCAAAAATGATGGCAGGATTCTTGCCCCCGAGCTCCAAAGAGAGCTTCTTGCAGTGGGGAGCACTCAGCTGGGTGATCCGCTCAGCTGTGGGCTGGCTCCCAGTGAAGGAGATCAAGGGTACCTCGGGGTGGGACACCAGGGCCTCACCTACCCGGGGCCCTGTTCCAAAGACAATATTGACCACACCTGGTGGAACACCTGGATGGGAAACAGCACTTTCAGTATTAATTATCAATGTGACAAGAACCTCAGATCACATAGAGACTCTCCTTGACAGTCTAATACCTTGAGTTAGAGAACACAAGGGAGGGTTTTTACAACAGCCAAAGCTTTTACAGATCCTTCCAGTCTACTAACACAGTAAGTCTTATGGTGTCACCTCTGCCTTCTAGAATCTGTCTGGGTATTTTAGCCTGGAGAGGCACAATGGAGAACACATGTTAGGTGGTTTATTCCGTAATACAGACTAAGCCTTAGGGACTGAAGACGCACAGTTATCATGGGAAAGCATTCAGATCCTGGATTGGAGTGCAGAAGAGTCTGGAGAAGGAGAAAGTAATGGGAAGGAAACAAGGACCATTTCCCACCATTCTTGGGGGAGACCTGGACCTGCATTTCACACAGGACATGTGTAGGGGTGGATGGAAGAGTGAGGAGGGAGGGTTATTTCTAAACCTTGAAGGTAAAATGAATCACCATTGATGTCTACAGTAGCATTTTAACAGAAGCTGAGAGAACACAGGAACACCACATATTTCTCACCACAGGAAATTGAGCTCATTTCAGCAGGCTGATTGCCTTCCACACTGTGTATTAACATTTTGATTACATTTCCTTGGGCTTTGATGTGAATATGTTAAGAAGTATCTGCTGGCCTTGATTTCTCAGCACCATTTTACCATTTAATCCAGACATTAATGAAAGTTTTGTAATGCTATCTACCTTCAGTCTGTTAAGGAAATCTGGCAATAAGAAAAGGAAAACAATCTAGCTGGCAAACAAATTCAGTACAATTCAGGGTAGATGGCTAAAGAGACAAGTTAGGAACACACAGATAAGCACGAAGCCTTCTGAACACTAGGGCCTGGTAGAGAAGCAAAAAGAAGGATTTTAAATTTAGCTAAAAGAAGGAAAAGTACTACCAGGAAAGGCTAAAGACTCCTAGTAAGTAGATTCTCCATGGATGGGGAGAGTTTGGTGCCCCCATTCAGCATGCACACACACACATACACACACACAGAGGAAAATTCTAGAATTCACAAAGAGATACTTTCTGTGTATTTTTAAAATGGTTTTATTTCTGAATGGAGGTCAGCTATCAAGTTTGCATGGACACCCAGGACTAGAGGAACTAGTTATTTAAATGCATTAGCATTTAAATCCAGAATGTATTAGCAGCCTTTCTCTGTACTCTCACATTCTTAAAAGTTTCTCTTCATTGTTGTAAGACAGAATGTCATATACGTGATTTACATGTCTTCTCAATCCCAGCAGAGAAACCAAGAATCCCAGCTTAAGGGAAGTACACTCTGAACACATTTCACGCCAATTCAGGGGAAGAAAGTCTGGCCAAGACAGCCCAGAGAAGAAAGAGGAAAAGAGCTGCATTAGTATAATAGGCCCAATAGTTCACAAGAAATGAGATCAATGCTTTAAAAATAGATTGAAATGGAAAGCTATATAGACCAGGTTCCCGGAAAAGTGGTTAGGAAAGCAAACGTATCATAGATCAATACTTGTTTGATTTTAGGAGAAAGCTCTCAGGGGGCCATGATTCCATGCCCTGGTCTGTGTACCCTCTTCCCTAGGTAGGACTATAATAGAACAAGAGTTCTGCTGCAATTTGCATCTGAACCAGCCCCCCAAAGTCACACGTGCTGAAGCTAGGTCCTTAGGCCATAGTGCTACTAGGAAGTAGAAGAACCTTTAAGAGGTAGAGCCTAGAGGGAGAAGTTAGGACATTGGGAGGTATAATTTAGAAGGGAATATCAGATCCAGCCTTTCTCCTTCCCTCCCTGTGCTTGCTTCACTCCATGTGGCATGTTCCCACCATGATCATGATATACTTCCTCACCACAGGTCCAAAAGCAACAGGGCACACTGGCCAAAACTATGAACCTAAACAAACATTTCCTCTTTTTAAGTTGATCTATCTCAGGTATTTTTATAGTAACAGAAAGATAATTGACACAGCCTCAATCCTGCCTGCCTAAGAAGTCTTAAGTCACCAGGCTGGGAAGAAACATTGTGTACCCCTGTATGAACCAGAGACTCAGCTTCTCTGCAAAGAATAAGATTAGAATGTGATCTCTTCCATAAGGAGGAATGACATATTCTGACACATTTATATCCTATGGCCCTCAGAGGTCTAGGACATCCACAGGTGTCATTCCTAACTCCTAGAACAGAGGCCAATTCTCTTCCCTAAATAGGCTCAGCTTTAACATCTGAATCCTAAACCAACTGGCTAAAATTTACTAAGAGCTAATGCGTATGTGTTTGCAGGTAGAGATGGGGGAGTTGGGGGGGGAGGGGCAGGGGCAGCACGGGTTCTACGCACTGCCCATTCTCAGAATAGGAGAAGTTAAGAGTACCTTCTCTGTCAGCAGAAGCAGGTGACATTGCCAGAAAGATGGTAACTATTCTCACCACCCAGTCATCATCTTCAGCCTGGACTTCCTGCCTATTGCCTTCAAACACTGAAGCAGTGTCAGGCTGTGTCTGTGCCGAATTATACCCAAAAGAAAATCTGGAATATAGTCAGAATGTGGCCATTAAACAATTAGCAGCTGAGCTCTGGTGACTCTTGCCTGTATTCTTGGATACTCTGTAGGCTGAGATCTGAGGATTTTAGCTCAAAGCCAGAAAAGTGTGTGAGATGCTTATTTCCAATTAACCAGCAAAAAGCTGGAAGTGGAGGTGTGACTCAAGGGGTAGAGTACCAGCCTTGAGTGGATAACTCCAAGAAAAAGCCCAAATCCTATCAGCTTCCCAGTAGTGGTCCCAAATGCAAGGAAAATTGAAGGCATGAATATGCAAATCCCCTGCAAATAGCTGTATCTACTAGGTATTGTATAGGAATACCTAACAGTATTCTTATTTCTATCAAGATTCACTTGTGGCTCTAACTGAAGGTTTAAATGGACCATTGAAGTTAGTTTCTGGAGTGAGCTGGTCTTTGTTAAATCATATTTTTAATATTTTTAAGTCACTGTATGGAGGTTACAGTCAGTACCTTTGACTGACTCAGCCTGTACCCTGCAGTGTACTTCCTGAGCTGCCAACCACCTTCCTGCAGGTGGCACTATGCTGCTGTGAGAGAACCCTGCTACCGGTGAAGGAAATTTTTTCGGGCTTCCTTGAGAAATCTATTGCAATGACTCACAGATAAAACTAGCACAAACTTTGCTGCTGTAGATAACAACTTTGATCCATCTCTCTGCCTCCTCCACAAGCCCTACCACTGACTTACCTGCTTTATCCAAGAGTTTGCACAACATCCACGCAGTTACAGACGTCAGCTCACTGGGCTTGGCTATCACAGTATTCCCAGCAGCAATGGCTGGAGCTATCTTCCAGGTCAGCAGGTAGAGAGGCAAATTCCAAGGGCTGATCAGACCAGCTAAAGGGCAGGAACAGATGTACGGCCATGACAACACACACACTGGCCTGAGGTTCCTAAAGCAGAACTCTTCTTAGCTGCATGAGACTGGATTAACTCTTAAGATTCCCAGCTTTGCATCTTTGGACCAACCCTAAGGAAATCATTCTAAAATCTGTTGCATGCAACATATCTTTTTAAATAGAGCAAAATCAACACAATTTGTCCATTTCTTGATTCATCATTGTATGTATGAACCACAGGAGCATCAGCTCCAGGGATCAAAGGCTGCCACCAGGCAATTATTAATTTCCAGCATGGAATGTATCTTGAGATTTACAGACTAATGCTTACCTTAAAAAATTGTAAAAAACACTTCTTTATTATATTTATTAATTAATTTATTTTTGCCGATCGTGGACCTTAACTCTGGGCCTGGGCGCTGTCCCTCAGCTCTTCAGCTCACGGCAAGCACTCTAACTTCTTTATTATTAAGCTGTTCTTTCTAATAATGTTCTGCTGTTTCTTCTAATAATTCTATCTGTTTCTAATCTGCTGTTTATTGAAACTGTTAAAGCTTTATATAATTACTTATAAATTATAATTTAAAAATTATAAATTTATACATAAAACATATAATATATATTTATAGAATATATAATATATAATAATATAATGTATATTATATATAAATAATTATAAATTACTTATAAATAGGAACAGGCCCTCCCATCAGTGAAGCAAATAAACTTTGATATATAAACTGTGAAATCTGCTTTGACCATTTTTCTTTAAATTCTACTGCATCCTGACCAGAATGGTTTGCTGGATTGGTAAAATACTCATCTCTACAGTGTGTCTCTATGTAATGTTCTGGAAGGTTGCCCAAGTTTCCAACTGGAGCAACACACAGATATAAAAACTTCCCTATAATAAATCTATGGAATTAATCTGGGAAAGAGAAAAACAAAAAGAAAAAATAAATAAACAAGGGGATTAACTTTATTTATTCTCTAACCTCCAACCTGTGCTATCAAAGTGAAAATCTATTTTTGTACTACTGAATTTCCCATTACACATTTTGTTCTTTATGGGATAAAAATATTTTTGCAGCAAAATACATTAGCATACTACTCAGGAGAAGCTTAAGGCTTTCTATAATGTCTTGAAAATATTGTTTCTTGAGGTTTCAAAGAACCAAAGCAGTAAAATGCTTCATTTTCATTCCTGTTGAACACTTCATAAAATCTAACTTGTAAAATACGGTGTTTCTTCTCAGGGCAAATAGTGACATCTAGTGGATATTTTTCATCATAACAGACATTTAGATCTCTTTAAAAGGTCAAGGGAGAATAGAATTTGAGTGAGAGAAGTAGGTAGTTCAATTCTTCACCTGGTACTACTGAAAGTGCCCTGCACTTATGAATGCATTTATTTACTCACACTCTTAAAACATGTATGAAGATAACATTGAACTATATTTTTCCAGCTTTTAAGATAGGAAAGCCCAGAGAACTTGTGACTGCCCCGTGCAATTCTAGTCTACAGCTATGCTCTATTTGTTCTTGTTTTAACTACAGGTAGCAATAAAAATGTTGGCATGTGAGTTTTCTCCTAGCATTATAATTTTTCCAGGAATAAGAAGGAAATTCAGAAGAATAAACTAGAAACAAATTCACGAGCTCAATGAATTTGCAGTAAAAGTAGGAAAAATTAGTTTTGCTTTTTTCTTTTTGTTTTTTTTTCTTTCCCAGATTAATTCCATAGAATTTTCTACGCATCTCTGTGTGAGATCACGATGCAGACTTTCCCAGGCAGTACCTACCAATTCCCACGGGGGTCCGCAGCGTGTAGTGCAGACAGCCCAGGTGGTCCATGTGCGTGCACTCGGTGGTGTGATGCAGAATGGAGGAAGCAAAGAACCGGAAGTTCTGTACCGAGCGGGGAATGTCCATGGTTCTAGCCAGCGTGAGCGTTTTCCCTGAAGGAAGTAAACCATGTACAACAGTATGTTTGTGTCACACAGTTAGTGGAGACCCGCTGCCAGTCAGCTGTCAACACAGTCATAACCCAACTCGTACTGGACATTCCTTGACCACTGGAGGTGGATAAAACGATGAAACAATTAGGTGTGAGGCTGACTCAGGTGGACTTCACTTGCTGTAATTCATAGCTCTCCTGGTGAGTTGGCCAACACGACTAGTTTTCTCACACACATTCTGGTGTGCCACCAGGCTTTGTTACGTGTGATGACAGGATTCAGATAATAAGTGTTGGGACAGATATGCTGCACATCCCAGGAGAACTGGTGTGGTGTATTAAATTTCCTCTCAACAAATGGTCAGAGCGGCCAGCAGGAACCCCAGCACAGGATGCTGTGTGCCGCTGTGCACACCTACCCCACGGCCCACCTGCCCCGCTATGGCTAGAATGAAAGAAGGAAGCATGAGCTTATCTGGGCTGCCCTTGAGTGTCCTTCAGTGATTCAGAGACACTCCACTGCCAGGATACAGTAGAGGAAATATTTCCTTTCCCAGGCCTTGAACTTGATGCTTTCTAACTTTAGCTTGGTTTCATAGCATTCAAATACTTTTTAAAAGATTTAGGTTAGCCTTTCTTTTGTAAAGATTTACTGATACTTATTCCATTACTATGACCCAGCTGGAAAAGAGTAGAAAACAAAGTAGTTGATTGTGTTGGAAGTGATTGCAATGAATACATAAGCAAACATTCTGAAGAACTGTAACTGCTGATCAAATTGTCTTTGCCGTTGAATCTTCTACTCGGAAGAGGAGGAAGATTCCATGGTGAGCTCTAGTCCCTCATCTCTCCCCATAGTTATTCTCCTGGCCATGATTCTTTGCAGAATGCATTCTCCTGCCATTTGGCTTTGGGTTCAGCCACTGACTTTGCTTTGAATGAAGCAGGAGCAAGAGTCTTGGCCTTCCACAGTCTTGTGTGGTTTGGCCTCCACCTGTGCCACTGACAGAAGCAGGTGCATGGGCTATCCTGGTGCCCTCATGGAAATAACATGAATAGCAATGGGTGCTCAGAGTCCCATTCGTTATGAGACCAGAGATCATCTGACAAATTGCAGTGAGGACATGGTAGTATCTGCATAATGGCTGGCTACATTCATATACATTTAGTAAGAGACACCTGATCTCTCAAACCATGGCTCTGCTAGAAAAATGGTGTAGAGAAGATGGACAAGCTCTGCCAAAGAGGATTCTCACCTTGGTCTTTAGATTCTGCTTGGGCCAGCTCCTCCAGGGACTGCTCCAGCAAGTCAGCTAGCCGATTCAGGACTTGAGCACGTTTCTCCGGACTCTGGGAAGACCAGCCAGGAAAGGCCCCTCTGGCAGCCTCCACCGCCACTTCAACCTTTGAGGGACAAAGGGACAAAGGTCACCTTAGAGGTGGCACTCCTGAAGACTTCGAAGGATCTGGGATCAATAGGTGTCAACACGCCTGTTTATCTTTCTGCCTCATTTCAATTGTCCAAAATGTCCCAGTGCTGAGCTACCCACAGAGTAGACAACCCCAGGGGAGGGAAGGGGTTAACCAGCAAACCAGGATACCACAAAAACAAAAAAATCATGCCCCCTCTCCATCAAGGTATTTAGAATGTAATAAATCAGACAATTAGACGCAATTTAAATTTTAACATATGTGCATTTGTAATCCTTTTCAAATTACACACACACACACACACACACACACACACACAGTGTGTGTGTATGTGTGCCAATCTTAGTCTCCTGAGTTGCTAGGATTACAGCAGAGCCACTAAGCCACTAGACTTTTTTGAATATGGTATGTGAGAAGAAACTTGGTCTATAGAATCTGCAAAGCTTTCATTCTAGGTCTAAAGTTTTGTACAAAATAATATTTTCAAGTGATGTTAGAATATGGAATGATTAATTCTATTAGTTGTTTGCTCACTACCTTTTATATATGAAGGATATGACAAATTATTTCATTTAACCCTTTTAAAGTTCTATACTACGAGTATTTTATGCCCATTTTACCCAGGAGGAAACAGATACACAGGGATTGAATAACTTGCCAGAGGTCAATTATTAAGTGGCAGAATCAGGATTTGAACTCAGATCTCTGGAGCCCAGGCTAACTCTTCATGAAAAATTTGATTTAGAGCTACTTCCAGCTTCCTCAAAAAAAAAAAATAAAAGTCACTTTCAGATGAGCTGAAATAAACTATCACAGAAAGATTAAGATTCTCAGCTGGGTGATAGTGGCTCATTTATAAACACAGCTACTCAGGAGGCTGAGGCATAGAGGCAGAAAAGTCCATGAGATTCCCATTGTCAAAAAAAACAGCAAAAACCTGGGCCGGAGGCATGGCTCAAGTTTTAAAGTCCATCAAGAAAGCTGAGTAAGCAAACTGAGCAAGTGCAAGACCTTCACTAGAAATGTTTCGGAAGAAGGTAGCTTCACCTCTAAAACTGGACCTCCCAGGGACCTGCAGGTGGGACCAAGGAAGAGATGTGGGTTCTGGTGGTCTGTACCTCAAGCTCGGAAGGCCCATGCCAGAGTTCCTTCCTATAGAGATCCGTGTAAAAGTCTGATCTTTAGGCTATTCGGAAAATCCAAGTTCACCCACATTTTTTAGCTTCTTTCCTGTCTCATATCCATGTAATAAGGAATATGTCTACTATTATAATAGTGCTAGCAGTTCTTAGAACATGTTTTAGTATACACCAAACATTAGGTCTTGACTTGTACTAACCCATGTAATCTTCAGGACAAGATTATACACTCAGTATTATTAGTATCCTATTACTACTAGTGGGGAGTTTTTTAAAAGGGGAGACTGAGATATGAAGAATGATAGCTCTAAGACAAGGTCATAGATATCATCAGGTGGAGTTGGCCTTTCAAGCCAGGTAGTCTGACTCTTGTCTGTGCTTATGGTTGAAATGCCGCAATGTAAATGATGAAAATAACTATCTTGATTTATGCATTGCAGATGAAATTGCCAACATACTGTTCTCTGTAAAGGAACCTGTATAATATATTCTCTCTTCTAGACTATTTCAACTTGCTCCTTGGGATACGGCTAATGTTATTTTGGCAAATCTGAAGCACAGAATTAAAGCAGAATAAGTGAAAGTCATCTTAGGAGTCGAGTAGCATTTTCTGTGGCTATTTGGAAAAATTGGTTTTGTATAGTTGCCATTTTTCCATGCCAAAAAATAAGTCAGGCACAATGGCTTTAGCCTGTAATCCTAGCTATTTGGGAGGTGGAGATTAGGGCATCACAGTTCAAGAACAGCATGGACATAAAGGTTGTCAGACTCCATCTCAACCTATGTGGAAACAATTTGTGCAGTGGGCTGCACGAATAGGAGGATTACAGACCAAAATGGCCTGGACATAAAGTGAGACTTGACCTCAATAATAAAAATGCAAAAGGGGAAGGAGATAAGGCTCAAGGGCTAAGGGCAAGGGCCTAACAAGAGCAGGGCCCTGCATTTAACTCAGCACTGACAAAAACAGAAATGGATTTTATAGAATCAAGACATTTTTGGGATTGCTGGAAAATATTTGACATTATTTTCAATTTGATTCCATATTCTAAAAACGAATGAGCCACTAGCTATAGAAAATGTTTTAGCTGAATTTGCCACATTGTTTAATTTTAGCTCACTTTGGAAAACACGGCAAGACAGGACAGTGGAAAAGACAAGACTAGATTTCTCATATGCTTCTTGGGTCATTTGAAGAACAAAAATACAGGTTATAGTTTAACCAACAAATTAACCAATGTTTGAAAACAAGTCTAAAGGTTGTATTTAAAGCAAAACAGAGTTGAAATTTTACCAGTGGGGGAAAAAATAGCTAAGTTAAAAAAATTGCATTTAACTTATCTGTATATGAAAACTATAATTACATTTTAAATAACTGTCCATGTCTTGAAAAACAAATTATCATCTACTAAGCATAGATGACTATTGGCCATATTTTAAAATCACCTACATATTTATATTGTCAATAACAAGCAATAAAGCATATCTCAAATATTTTATAAAATTCTACAAATAAAACTGTCATCACTATAGAAAGAAAATGAGAAGAAAAAAGAGAGAAAGAAGTTACTTCTTTACTCTTATAAGAACAAATGGGAAAGGGAGGGAGGGAAGGAAGGAAGAAGGGAAGATAAAAAGAAGTAGCATGAACCATTAAGTACTTTCCTTTAGATTAAAAAAAACTAAATCTAACTCCAAATTTATGAGAATTTAATCTCCAATTTTATCAAACTACTGATTCCATTATGGTACTTTTGAAGACATGCATAAGTATTATAGGACAATCTAAATGAAGACCTAGGGTTTGGGGAGTTGTTATTGCTCTACTTGTTTTTGGTGAATAGACACTTTTAAAAAAAAGTCCATAGATGCAGTGGTAAATTCATGTTAAACTTGGTGGGGGAAATGATGCGCTTAATGACACCTCTTAAATATAATATCCTCTTAGGGAATTCTGAGAATAGCAAAACTAAAACTAAATCTAAACCTTGTATTCTCAGCAAAGTATGGCTGGTTAGAAAATTAACTATCTTTAAATGTAGTAACCTAAGCTTGTTCTAGCTTATAGATGTCGATTTCCCAAATCAATCTTTTTAAGTCTTCCTTCTGCTAATATTTAAAAATTTAATACTTCTCTCTAACCCCTTTTGCTTTTAGGAATTAAGTCACCCATGATTTTCCACCCATAAATATATTTCTGTCTTCTGTAAGTGCATATACTTACCTCGTCTTTTCCACTATTTGGTACTTTGCAATATACTTCTCCAGTAGATGGATCATAAGAATCTATATATGAATGACATGGTAAAAACTGTCCACCTATGAAGTTTTCCAGCATCAAAAGATCCTTTGTTCCAGCCATGGTAAGGGAAAATGCTGCCTTTTCTCTCACAGTTGTTCACGCAGGTTGTCCTTACAATGTTGCCCCTCTTCCTCAGTTGTTCTGCTCTCTTCCAGCTCCAGGATCCCCATGTGCCAATCAGTGAAAGTGGGAGGAGACCTGGCACTCTCACCAGCTCATTCTAACCTCCAAAGTGAGGAAAACAACACAGACTCTTGACACATTATGAACAACATGGTTTTGTGTATCCTCAGCTTTTTCAAATGATCAAAAGGTACCTGTGTGTGATTTTCATTTGCACAGTAAATTGTTCATTGCTTTTCCATTAAGTCCAAAAACATCATGAATTTATTCACTTATTTCACACAATCCTCTGTGTAACAATATCATTACTTTCTTTCCTTCTTTTATTAAAGAAAGAAAATAGAAAAGCTGAGGTTTTGAGATGTTAAGTCAATGCACCCAAACTCACACATTTCTTCCAAGATGTGACATGAACATACAAGCCAAAAATATATATATATATAACATATATAGCAAGCCAGAGACTTGTGCCCAGTTCTACATGTTGATAAGAAAAATGGGTACCCCAACAGAAGATTAAGCAAAGGATATAGTAAAAAGCAATTTAACAGTAAGGGGAACACAATTGGCTAATGAATGTATTGGCAAATGCTCAATTTTGTTTATCAAGAAATGTGATATACAAAAATATTCTGTTGGCCAGACCAAAAAGCCAATCAGCATTTAAAAAGTAAATGTGCACAGTGTGTGGAGAGGAGACACACACAGGTTGCTCTCCCACCAATGACAGGGTACAAGTGTGCCTCACTCCTGGGAGGAAGACATAGTGCAGCACCATCACGTCAGGAAAACTGTCAACATGAACAGGAGAGGCTTTGGGGTTGAATGAGCCCCATCCTGAGGAATCTGTGAACATGATGTCCTTACCCTATAGCGTTTGGAGCTCAAAATGGGAAAAATGGGTGTTATTCAGCTAGACTACCTACAGAACAGGGACATAATGTTCACAGGACCACCATGAGATGAAGCAGGAGAGTAAAAAAATTTAGGACAGAGGAAGAAGGGATGAGTGACATTCAAGGAACGTTTTGATCAGATTCCATTTCAATGTGAATATTAACAACGCATATACCTAACCATAAACTCAGCCAAATGGGGAAACGCTAGAGGCTCCCTATGGCAGACACCATGAATGTTCTCTAACTCCCACTTCTCTCCAGAAGCATTCTTCACTGTGTTGTCATTCAGATGGGGCATGTATGTAGTTCTGGCCAGTGGCAACGCATAGAGACTGTCCGGTCTCTCCCAGTGCTATGCAGACTACATACCATGGACGCCATGCCATGTTCCTGATGGCAGGTTACAGGATGTGGAACCATATGTTAGACAGTCAGGACAGCAGTCACTGTAAACTGTTTTAGTATATGGTGGTGCTTCTTACAAAATACACGCGCTTGTCATTATATTTAGAGATCAATTTCTAGCCGCTCACTGTAAAAACTAGCCCACTCTGGTTAGCAGGCAAACAACTTTAGCAAGTAAGCATTTCAAACATTGTCATTGGTCCTTTGCCCTACACACAGCAGTCCCTCAGTACTGAGCCCTTGTCTGTGGAAAGATGGGAGTATCTGTTTGGGGAAGGGCTCCTTTCCTCAAAGAGGCATGGTCAAATCCCTGGGGCCTTAGGGACACTATACACAGTAGCTATTAGTGCTGCAACCCTAAGCCTAGGTCCTTAATCAAAGAGGAGGAGAAAGCACAGTGCCCATCTGAGAGGGAAGACTCAAGAGTTGTTGCCAGTTGAAAAGATAGGTTTGTCACAGGGAGCCAGTGTTCTTCTTCCAGCTCTGAAGCCACAAAAATTAAACCCAGTGTAATCAGTTTAAACCCAGTAGGGAATTGATATTACAAAGGCCCAAGCTGAGGGAAGAGCTAACTTTGCAATCCCTGAGTCCATACTGGTGCATGGATGCTGGCAGATCAGATATTAGAATCACACAGATACAGTAGTTCTGAGCCACGGGTTGGGGAAAAGATGTGACTTTATTAAAGTACATTCAACTGCTTAGCAAGTGGCCCGTTTCAAGATGATTCTGACCCATAACACATTAGAATGAACATGACTTTGTTTCTTTTCAAAGTTATCTGATCCCTTTACTCCTAATTCCTATGCAATAGCTTCCTCACTCCTGGATCAAATTTGTTCATGGGCTCAGGTTCTGAGAACTGATTTTTACAAGAAGGATTTACTTGGCCAGGGGCCACTTTTATCCTTTAAAACACTTAAGTTTTTTTAAGCAGAGCTGGAAAAGGACTGTGGATCCCAGAACATGGGTTTTCAGTCCGTGTACACAATTCACCAGGAATGAGGCAAAACGTTAACATTACTTCTTTCTTCACACTGGAAGGAGCTATGGCTCTCTAGACAGCATGACAAGAACAAACCAGGGATGTAGAGACATGCTGAGGATGCAGCTAAGCAGAGGACCACGTTGAGGCAGAAATCTACACTGACAATGACTATGGCACCAGGAACTACAAATCAGTTAGTTTCCATGAAAAGTGGGCTTTAGGAGCATCATGACCAGGAGTGTTTCAGAAAAAGGCAGTGTATCTTGGATTGCATTCTTTAAAAGTTAACTTACATTAAAAAAAAGTAGAACCAGAATTGAGGTAATATTCTGAAATTACCCATCCACAAAAAAAAAAAAGGAGGGAGGAGGTGGATCAATCCCAAGATACCAGAGCAGGGAGACAAGTCAGGGAACAGCTTTTCTTTCTCCTCATAGCAAGAACAAGTGGGGTCAGATCCTCTGCTTCCATGGCTGACTTGTGAAAATGAGTTGATTGGCTACAGCAATGTACACATGTTAGTACTGATTTTGATGGATGATGCAGAGTATTATTTGCGAGAAATAGAAATCCAGGATATTCAGTACTTATGGGACATCATATTATCAATGGTTTGGTAAAAGGTTTTTTTTTATACTGTGCTTGGAACTTTTCTGCCCATTTATATGAGATACTTTCAAAATGAACCATAATGGGAAAAGTGGAATTAAGATTTCTACCTCACTCCCCCATGGTATAACCCCTGTTTTCACTGTATTTGATGTTGGTATAATTTGAGGGGAACGGAAAAAACAAAATGTTTAAATAGGGATACACATGGACCCATTGCAACAATGAGATGTACAAGGCACTATGTTGAAAAAAGAACTTTATAATTTAGGTGGGGGTGGGAGGGTGGGGGTGGGAGTGTAGTTGTGGAGGTGGGAGGGAAGGGATGGTAGGGCAAAAACAAAGGAGGTAACAATGCTTGATAAGAAATGTACTCATTACCTTGCTCATGTAACTGTTAACCCCTCTTTGTATTTTCACAATTAAAAAACCTGTTAAAAAAGATTTCTACCTCATAACACACGTCAGGATTTTTTGTTTTTTTTTGGTCAGTCTTGGGCTTGAACTCAGGCCTGAGCACTGTTCTTGCTCAAGGCCAGTGCTCTAACACTTGAACTACAACTCCACTTCCAGCTTTTGGGTGGTTAATTGGAGATAAGAGTCTCATGAATTTACTGCCCAGGCTGGCTTCCAACCATGATTCTTAGACCTCAGCCTTCTGAGTAGCTAGGCGTAAAGCCATCAGTGCCAGTTTGTAAAAATATCTTCAAGAAGAAATATTGAACTGAAAACTAAGAGCCATAAGCAGGTGGGGAAAGCCAGTGATGGACTGAGGTACCCAAACCTTTTGCCCTTTGCAGGGCACCTGAAACCTTCTTGTCCTCATCTATACATAATACCATAGCTGAATCTTGAATTTGTGGGTTGACTGAAATGCCCCCAAAGTAGGTTGAAAAGTATTAAGTTGTCTGATTTTGTTTCCTTAAAGATGAAATTTTTAGGAGCTTTTTGTTTTCAAGAGGCATTAGTCTTATACATTTTAAAAGTTTTAACAGAAAATGCAGTTGTATTCCCTTTGAGACTTTTACATAAAACACGGTGCACTCTTCTTTTACAGCTTGGGAGTCTCCCTGCATTCATCTATCTGCATTGTATGAGTGGCTTCCAGGTTCACAGTTATAATATGCATTCCTTACAGCCTTCAAATGGTATTGAATTCAGGATTTAGTTCCTAAAGCTTTGGACTAATGCTTTCCTCGACAGGGCAACATTCTCTCACATCTAAGTTGAGTTGATATTGTCTAAAGGAAACATGTAGCTAGGGCTACAGCTCAGTGCTTGCCTAAAAAGTGCAAGGCTCTGGGTTTGATCCTCAGTGTCATAAAAATATATATATAAAATTAAGATTTTAGACACATGGTTGAGAGCATGTCTGATTAAAAATAATAAAACAAACGCTTACTACAATAAAAGTGAAAAAAATTCTTGCTTCCATATGCTCAGTACACTGCATGCACTGTAGGTTTTCCTACAGTCCTATGATGTTTCTCATTCACCTTTAAATACATGTGCCCAAGGCAAGTTTGGAAAGTAACACATGAAGTCTGTGAGGTCAAGCTGTGCTGAAAATAAGTGGACTATGAGGTGCCTGAGGTAACACAAGGACGCGTCTACATCCTTTTGTATTAAGTAACCTCAGTCTTCCACTGCCAACACGCTTCTCCTTCAGTGAGTTCTTCTAATAACATTACCACCTTCAACAGCAAACTGTAAATACTACACAAATAACAAGACAGCAGCATTTTATCACAGTTTACAGGAGAAACAGATAAATTCATTTCTGCACTGAGCTATTTATAAAAGTCTGAATTAGAATGCTTAATTCTATCACAATCTTATGTAATATATACACAGTGTATGTTCTTCTTGCTACCCCACCATCCAAACTCCAGTACCTTGAATGTCAACCCCCTCCCCCAACTCCCAGCTCTGTGTTTCTGGGTATTACTTCATACTCCACTATGAGGTGGTCTCAGGCAAATAAAGAAAATCTGATTACTGTCAGTGGTGAAACGGTTCTAGGACTTGTAGAAGACGTGTTCTTTTGGCCTGTCCTTGCCCTTGTTAGCGCATCTGAGGATGGAGCATGGAG